GGTCTATCTTGACCTTTTTCTTGCGCTGGGCCGGTATCCGGAATCCTTCCTGCTGCGCCGTCCGTTTCTTTGCCCGCTCCGCCTTTTCCTGTCTCTGTAGCTCTTTTTCTCCTTCAAGCTCATCGTTACCAGCGTCTGCCGGGCCGCCTTCGTCTCCTTCGTCTGAAGAGGAAGAGTCGAGCTCCATGTCGTCTGCTGCGGCTTCTTCTCCGCCTTCTTCCTCGCCATCCCCGGATTCAAACTCCTCGTCATCTTCTTCTTCTGCAAATATACGCGCCAGTTCATCGTCAGCTTCGGCGTCGAGAAGCGTGTTCATTAGACGGCCAGCCGTCGACCGTCGCTCTCGCCCCGTGGCAAGAGGCTCGACATAGTATTCATCTGGCCCACTACCGTCTTCCGCCTCAGCTGGGAGTTCTGCCATGTTTGGTTATGAGTAACTGGGTCTCATCGTAGCTCTTCTCTGCAGCTCTCACATCGCGTTTCGTAGTGTCTTTCAAATATCAAAAACGAGACTAGGTGAAGGTTGACCCTGTAGATTATGTTATATACATTGATTATATAAGCCGCCACTTTATTCTGACCTTCGATTGTTGTGACTTTTATATCGACCAACACCAACGACAAACTTGCAGAAGACAAAGAAGAAGAACAAGACGGGGAGGATAGAAGGAAGGGGAAGCTGAACGCGGAGAGCTCCCAGGCTTCCGCTTGACACGACACGCCCATACACATCTTCTTGCAGGGCTGACTTCTCTCGTCACCCCAAAAGCCACACTCTCGTATGGGATGGGGTTGGAGGAATGTAACGCGAGCTGAGGCTGGTTGACAGCAAATTGGGCAAGAAAGTACACAATCTAGCAGATACCAGCGATGATCCTTATTTGCCTAACTCCCTTTCGCCTCGCAGGTATCGAAGAGCAACCGGTCATGAACAATAAATATAAATCAAGCAACAGGAGAGAGGGGGATAAAATAGTAGTGACAAGCGAGTTGTACGGAGTAAAGAACACAGCATACGGTTTGGGCTTCATCAGTCGGAAAACGCATGAAACGGAACTCAAGCAGGCGCAGCTCAAAGCATCAAGCTCTCGCTACCATGGTTTCATCCGTTCCGAGAACCGGCTGTGCGAGTTGAATCCGGGTACCTGCATCGAATGACACCAATCAACCCGTATTGTCTGTCTGGTGTTTGTGCCCGTCTCGGCCATCTCATCGCCAGTCAGTCAAAGGAAAGAAGCCTTTGGGCATCTATCTCTGCGTATGTTTTGTTTCAGAACAAGAGAAAGACGGTTCCTGTAAACTGAGTTGAAGCTATGTTTGATCTCTCCGCCCGCCAGCAGCATCGCTCCAAGCACCTGGACGTCCCTGACTTTCCCCTATCAGGCTCTAGCGGTAATGAAGACCCATGGGTCCTACCCACCAATCAGCCGGGATGATGCTGTAATGAGTTTTCCTCCAGAAGAACATCACGAAGGTTTAGTTACTTCGTGCCAACACTTCGCCAGACATCGACTCTGCTTGCAGGAGTAAGGCCGATCAACGAGAAGAGAAAAAACGATGCCACCGGCCTCCTTGGCCGCATGCTCCTGAACTGGACTGAGCTGAACCAACACAGTGGATACGTATATGCTTGCTAACTATGCTTACATACATACGGAGTACATACACACATACATACATACATCGATGGGGTTGCCTGTGCCCTTTGATGCTGTACAACCGCAGGAGGACGAGAGAAAGGAGAAGCAAGCTAGCTAAAACCACATGGCTCGTTCCCCTTTACCGCGGCGTCTCCATCCATCTATCGCCTGCCTGTCCCCCTCTCCATCCTCCTGTTCCTCCTGTTCCTCCCTCTTTGCCTGCTGCTAAGCCTGGCAAGCCAAGCGCCCATCATCCCTGGTATTGTATCGTATCGAGGCAGGTACCAAATACCAGTCCGGGGTGGTGATATACAGGCGCTCCTGGCGCAGTCGCTGCCTGTAACTTTGGTAATCGCAATACGACTAGTCCTTTCTCCATCCACTTCTTTTTTTTTTCTTGCTTTCTTCTCCTTCTTCTTCTCCCTTTTTTCCCCTAGTGTTGATTCTTTCGCTCTCCCCTTTCTTCTTCTTCATCTTCTGCTTCTTCCTCCTCTTCTTCCCCTTCCTGTTCTTTTTCTTCCTCCTGTTGTTCTTCCTGCCTCTCCTGCTCGCTTGCTTTGCCTGCAGGTCTTCGTTCTCCTCGTTTCTCCTTTCTTCCCGACTCCTTTTTTCCCTTCTAATTCACTCTTTTCCAATCCTTTATCTTTTTTATATTTTTCTCCCTTTTTTGGCTTCGATTCTTGCTTGTTCTGGTTGCATCATCACCATCATCACCATATATCGCCTTATAGTAAAGCTTGCCCTTCCTCCCCTTTCATCATTTACCTATAGCTCTCCTTCGCGTTATACGTTTGTTGCTTATCTGTTTAATCTGACTTGAAATAGCAAGCTCTATATCTGGCCTCCCTGACCCTGCGCCAGGTTGCTGAACCCAAAGTCTCTCGCGTCGTGGATTCCCGCCACCGTCAACTATTTGTTTCCGGGTCGGACAGTTCTTCATACCCCCCCTGAAGGGGTGAACACCATCTCGGTCTATCCTCTTATGCCAGGGTGGCTCGCCAAGTTCTAAGAGATAAGAAACAGAGTTGAAAACTTCCCTTTTTTACCGTGGTCGCTCGCAAGGCTAGCTCTTCCGTATACT